CCCCCCCCCCCCTTTTTTTTTTTTTTTTTTCCCTTTGGCTTGGGACTTTTGAGACAAATTCCTAACATAACTGTAATTCTTGCTTTTATAATTTGTGTTAGCAGAGACTATGATGCATTCTAAATGTAGATTTAATGTGCACTTCTGTGCTTTCTGCCAAGTGGTAATTCACTTCGGAGTTTTACTATGTTAAAACTGTAAATATAGCAGAACATTAATAAATGTCACTTATGTAGCAATTTTCGCTGTAGATCAGTGTTTAATTTAGTTTCAATGCTGGTTATTGATTACAAATGCAAAATTATCTGTGGGAATTTCGTCGTTTTTCCACGGAAGGGGGTAACACAAATCTCCACTCGGAGGTGTCCGTCTTTCTGTAACCAGGTTTTCAGACCCTGAGATGCTCCTCAGTGCCAGCCTGGCGCCTCGGGAAACGGCGATTCCGTACATTTGTTTGGGGGAGGGTGGCTGTTGGATTTTTTTTTTTTTTTCGTAGTTTCACACAAGATATCTGCCTCGTGAAATGGTTTGTGCGTGGTTTTGGTTCATGGCTGAGCTTCTCAAATGTCCAGTCCTCGCAAACGAGCCATGGGGGCTGACAGAGAGAGGGGGAGCTTAACACAGAGATTTCCTTCTTAAAAATAAGTGTGCACAGAGAGAATTACGAAGTTCGTCCTGCAAGGCGAAATCTGTAGCATCGGGGAACTCTGAATCACATTTGCCCAAACTTGGTAGATCAGCCTTGTGTTTACTCTCTTGGCATCTGGGCCTTATTTGGTCTTGTATCCTCAGAGAACTGGAATATTTGGCATTCCTGGGCCTCTCCGTTCAGTGGCCTGAAGCTGTGGCCACCTCCTGCTCCATCGCTCCTCTGCAAAGAGCGGTTCAGGGCGGGCAGGGGAGGGATGTGCTGCCCGAGGTCGGTGGGTGATGGGCTCCGGAGAACCCCGCCTTTGTGCTGGGCGGGCGTTAGCCCCAGCTCCAAGCTCAAATAGTTATTTTGGGTCTGTGACAGCTCAGCCACTTTAGACCGCGTAAGTGGAAGGTCTGTGGTCACCTGCAGTGACCAAATAAATACCTTTGGCCTTCCTGCCTGTGTTTTGTCAGCCAGGTTGTTTTTTCCTGCCAGCATTGTAAACCTCTGAGCAGGTTCAGGCAGGATTCAGGCTTAATCTCCCAGACACGGGTTTCATCTTTTGGGGGAAAACATCCCGTTCTGTCCTTCCCCAAAGAGGGGAGGCGGCTGGATTGGCTCGGCCCTCGCCGTGGCTGATATTTGTGATTTCCACAGCGGGTTTCAAAAGCGCTGCCTCACCTGGTGACCTCTGAGGAGACCCAGCGCTGTGATTTCCTGGCACTTGCTTGGGCAGGAGGGTTTCCACTGCACCTCTGTGCTGCGTGCGCCTGAAACGGCACCTCTGGAGCTCCAGCATCGCATGGCTGCTCCCCCCCACCCCTCCCACTTTGGATTTGCTTGCATTTTGACAGCCCCAGGCTTCCTTTGGGCTGTGACCACCCATCTGACGCAGGCCGAGGTTGGTGTGTGCGGGGCGGGCAGGCGGCCGGGGTGTCGGGGTGCTGCCACGGGTTATTCCCTGCTGAGTCGCAAAGTGGTTGAACTCTTTTGCATCGGTGACAGTCTCACACAGCAAAGCTCAGCTGTGTTACAGAGGAGTCGCTTTTTTGGGTCCAAATACCAGAATTGTTTGTACAATTGATTTTTCAAAAATATTCTGTAATCATTTGAAAGTCGCTCTAAGGTTATTTTTCCAGGTACTGCAGGAAGCGCATCTTGAGATCTTATTTCCAGTTCCCATGAAAGAAAGAAAAGTAACTCAAGGGGAGAAGGATCAGATAAAGGGAGAACAGCACGTGCTGGAGGAAATCAAATCTGCCTACGGAGAAGGTAGGGCTGCCACGGAGGAAACAAATGGGATCTGTCCATTGTCCGTGCTCTTCCGCCTGCTCTGGTGGGAGCTCGGCCTCCAGTGAGGACACTGGTGCTGATTGTCCGTGGCATCCATGTGAAATGAGAGGCTTAAGATGAGGAATAAAACTACTAAACGGGAGACCTCCCACTTACTTAAAAAAAAGTCTTTTCCCCCTTCTCTTCTCGCCCTACCCAATTTTATTTCCAAGAAGTTGATGAATACTGCTAGATTTAGGAATGATTTCTGTGAACCTTTTTGCATTACTGCAAAAGTCCTTTCTCACAAGAAAAATGCTGCGGTGAATTAATTGCTTTGTGTTTTGGCCACACAAAGCCAACAACCGACTCATTTTCGGTGGCTTCGTTAGTGGAAATGATTCACGGGCTGGATTACCATGACCTGTTCTCTGGGCTGGTGCACTCACCTCTTTTGAGATACGTGTGACAGCAGAGGGGATGGCCCTGAGGTCCTGAAGCAGAGGGCGGTAGGAAGCTCCTGCAAGGGACCGAAAATGTAATTTGGGGAAAAGCTTCAGCCCACGCCAGCACAAGCTCTGTGTACCCAGACCGTGTCTGGCAGGGCTGTGGGACTTGCTGCCGACTTTTTACGTGATGAAGTCAGTTTTCGTAGTACCTACTGTTGTTTTCATTGCCTCGTGTTTAAAAGATGGCATAGCTTTAACTGGGAGGAAAGAGAAGCAAATGCATTGCAAAAATGCCTCTGATAAGCCAAACCTGGTAGCAGTCGGATTAATGAGCCTTTTTAAAAGCTCCTTGAATGCAGAACATTTACAAGGCCGTTTTCGTGGTGATGCTTATTACTCATCACATAAAAACATTTCACAGTGTGGGCGCTGTGGTCGTTACGCTCACCCAGCCCGGTCCTGTTAACACCCGGGTCCGTTCTCTGCTCTGACTGGTAAGCTTACATCAACGCAGCATCCGTTTCTCAACAGCGGGTCAGTAAAGTCACATATATTTTCATTTTAGGTACCTCCTGTGTCCCAAGGGTTGAATTAGGAGTCAACCTTGTCATGTGTATTGCTGAGAAAACATTCTGGTGGGAGTTACCATGACCTTGGGCAACGAGGAGTTTCTCTCTCCCACAAATAGTTCTTAGCTGGTTTCCTTGCAGAGTAATTGTGTGTATATATATATATATATATATATATATATTTTTTTTTTTTATAATCTCTTGTGCGTAAACACCGATGAACCTTTTGGTGTTTTGCTGTTTGTTTTTTTTTTTTTAAATTCAAACCAACCGAAGTCATGCTATCAGCTGGGTGTGTTTTTCCTGCAGTTTATCCAGGCGGGGATGTTTGCTGTGGAGCCGCAGAGCTCCTCTGGAGCGAGGAGAGTCCCTCAGCTTTGTCCCTGCAGCAGAGGCCACCTGCCAGCGTCTCAGCCTCATGCCCGAGTGCCCTCTGGTCCGTGCACTCTATGAAGAAACTTTAATTAACATCCTGGGCTTGCTTTACCTTCGTGAGTCTCACAAGTATGAAAATGCAAGAGAAATTAGCAGGGTAGCAAGTTCCCATTCACGTGAGGCCCCGGGCTTCCCGCGACAGGTCGCGCTCCGGCACAGACGCGCCGGTTGGTGTTCCCATGGGGAAGCAGAGTGGCTTCCAGTCAATCCCTGTGTCCCCAGGAGGAGCAGCTCGGGGCTGGTGCCGCTTCCCCCAACGCCTCGGTCGCCTGTGAGCGTGTGTGTGCAGTAACCGTGGCACCTCTGTGCCGGGGCTTTGTCACGGCTGGCGGCGAGGACGTGGCTCCGGGCACGGACCGAGGCTCGGAGGGGTTGGGTGATGGAAGAGGTGCAGGAACCGTCACTCAGAGGCTTCCCCATAGGACGGTGTTCCCGTTGTATGACAATTAGAGACAATTGAGGGGATCAGATTTTGCCGAGCTTTATGATAAAATGTAAGGCTTATAAAAGCGCTACACGATGTGGCTGTAGCTGTAGTCGTCCTCAGGCTGGGATTGGCTCACCCCCCACCTCACAGCCAGGGCTGAGCTCTTCCCGCTGTGAGACTCCCCTGCCCTGCTCCATCTCTGCGATCAAGTTCCTGCGACAGCAGCTGGGGAGGGGAGACGAGGTGCCAAAGCGTAGATTTAATCCACGAGCAGCTGAATAACCCAGTCTCCCAGCAACTGGGACTCGGAGAGCTGCACCCAGCCAGTGGCAAACTTTTCCAGGTGTTTAAATAAAAAATACGGCCCGTGCGTTTGTCTGTACTTGGGGTTTTTCTTCGCCTCCACAAACTGAATCTCCCAGGGAAGGGCTGCAGGGGCTCGGGTTGAGCTGCTTTTGGGCATCCTCAGGTAAGGGGGACGCTGGGGTAAGAGAAAGTACTTTTGGGAAATGCGAGCAGGGGTGCTGCTGGGGAGGGGCTCCGCTTGGACGTGCCTGTGCTGCTGAGATGCTTTTTTGCTTTTTTTTTCTGAAGTTTTTTTTGGGGAATGGACAGAAGCTGATCGGGGAGGGAAAATATCAAGAGCGCAAGGGTTTAGTCATTAACGTAAAAAATCAATCACAGGATGTATCCTAGAAACTGTTTTGAAATTGTAGGACTTACACAGACACAAGCCCTATTTTCCCAAGTTTAAAATATGTTAATAAAACCTAATAGCAGTGGATATAAGAAATAAAGCAAAAAGTGGGGGTCTCTGCCCGGGGTCTGGGGCGTCTGTGCCAGGAGCCAAGAGGTGCTGTAGTCCCCGGGGGTGAGTAAAACACCCTCCATGCCCCAGAGCCAAGTGGAGCAAGGTACAAGAGCGCTCTGAACTGCTTTTTTCACAGTCTGGATTACTCAACAGAAGTTATGCTCGGTAAGAGATCAGCATTTCTAAAATACCCATCATCTCTTGCTGAGCTCTAAACGGGCCCCTGACCGTAACCAGGTGGTTGTTGCCTGGAGCCATCGGGACACCCGGGGCTGGTCCTTGGGGCGCCCGGGGCTGGTCCTTGGGGCGTCCTTCGGGCACGGGTGGGTGGTGTCCGGAG